TACAGAGGGTACGTCGATGGATCAGTAGGCTTTTTCTTGGATGTGGTATTGCGATAGTTGTAGCTCACATATGTTTGAAACCAGGTATAGTTCCAACCCGATTAGGATTAGCCTTTCTCCTGATGACATACATACAGCGGAGATGCACAAAAAAGGGACACACAAATACATACAAGTGTCGTTCTTCATTGGTTGGAAAACTTGACTGATGTCCAATTGATTTTCAGTCAAACGTCAAATATACACTCCCTAAAAATAATGTAATGCAATGCAAAGTTGAATAATATAAACTACACAAAATATACCTATTGACTTGATATATAGACAAGCAAACGCACTCGTGGGAACACAACTTAGAACTGTGCTTGGATCCTATCCACCGTGCTCTTCTCAACCTGGAAGGCTTTGGTAGTAATACCAGCCGGGATGGAAGGCTCTGCTCCAAACACCGCGTTGGCTATCGTGATCACTCCAGGGTTCTGGCTGCTCAGCGCCGCAATGGCCACCGCGTTACTCGTCCTGTTATTGTTCTGGTAATGGACGAGGCCTTTAGGAAACACAAACACATCTCCCTTGTTCAAAACCTTGTCAAAGTGCTTGTTCTCGGGGTTCGACGTCACGAACCCGACGTGTAGGCAGCCCTCCAGCACGGTCAAAATCTCGGTGGAACGCAGGTGGGTGTGGGGAGGGTTGAGGCCAAACAGCGTGTAGTCTATGCGAACGAGGGAGACGCCCATGGTGTTCAGCCCACCGATCTGCGCGACGTTGACGGCGGTCACCGCAGAGCCCTGCTTGTTGGTTGTATTGCCGGCCACGTGGAGACCGGAGAAGTAGAAGTCCTCGACGACGACCTCTTTTGCCGCTTTGCAAGCCAGTCCGTTGAGATGCACTACATGGGTGAATGCATTCGTATAAGATAAAAGATGGGTGATTGCTTAGCTACAATTCCATGGAGTATATCGGTGTGCATGTTGTACCTGGAGACGTCTTGTCGGCAACGCAGAAGTCCTGGAGAAGGCTAGGGTCGGAGGCCGTGGCGCCATGCGAGCATGCAAGGACCAGGAGAGCTCCTGCAAGGAGCAACACTCGAATGGCCATGTCTCTTTGCTTTCTCCTCGCTAGAGTAAATTAGCAAGCAGTCGAGCTTTGGAATTGGTTGCTATGCTGCTTCAATTGTGTGATGTTTGAGTGGAGAAGGCTGTATTTATAGGGAGATGATATACATGGTCGGGTAGGAAGTTAGGAACAAGTCTTTGTGATGTGGGTAGCCTGCAGAGCGCGTGTATGTATAATATGCATGGGACGGCAGGATCAAAGTAATACTAGCATGCATGATTACCTATTTACATCACATCAGTCAATGGTCGAACAAGTCGACTGTACATATCCACATCGATCGACCAAGAATCCAAGAGAGAATGCCATCTCTCCACATGGATCTCACCGGTACAGCTGTAGGCCCGCGCTTAACGTCGAAACGGGACAACCTTCTTTTTCCGATAAAATCCATTTATCTGCATTCATTATTTTAAAGATATACTAGTGCAAATACCCGTGCATTGCAACAGGGAGAAAAATCCTCATATTGCCACACCCTAGTAGTGCAAGACTTAATAATCACGCTGTGGCGATGTGGTAGAGATAAAAAGAACTTTGGAACATATGCGAGAATAAGATCAGGACTTCTAAAAGGCCATTCAGAAACTAAAAATGTTATGGCATTATCACGGTCTAATTTCCTAAAAGCATTCACTTTGTAGTCATTTTGGGTGTAAGGTTGCATCTAACATTATGACTCAGAAAAAGAGAGTGCACACACACACCATACACGTGAAGACCACACAAATATTGTCCATGTACTACTCAGATCCTTATCAACGTTTTCAGTTAGTAGGACATCGCATAGATCAATTATCTCAGAAGAACTTCTCAATCAGCTAGCTTGCGCATCCTGAAAAAATATCCCTCAACCAGCTATGCGTGTATGACCATACAGTTGCATGCAAAACTAGCTCTCGCTTCTATAGGGCCGAACTCGCTTCCGCATGCCTCCTCTCTTGCACTCTCGTGGTGGCCATTCAAGACAGTATGGCGTTTTGGATCTCGGCCTTCATGGCGGCTGAATTTATGAAAAAATCAAAACTCAAAAGTTTCGGTTTCAAAGAGATCTGAAAAAATTTGTACAAGTAAACAGGGATGTGAGGTGTATGTATGTATAATTTCAGGATGAAATACATTGAAATGCGGCCTGTACAAGAAAGAAAAATTCATGATATAGAAGAATGAATAGTATCATCTGTTAAAACCCCCTAGATTTGTTCATTTTGCACATCCCTCATTTCATCGTATTTCGTTGTGAAATTTAACACACGTGTGCATTATGCTTTCATGTATGTCTGTATTTTTTCAGATTTTTTGAAATGTAAAAATACGAATTTTCACGTATTTTAAATTTTGAGTTTTGAAGCTTCCATGGAGCTCGGTGTCCAAAAGCAATTTCTGTTCAATCCCTCCTTTAATTATTCCACCCATTTAAATATTCTATCCAGCCCACAATCCTTCTCTTTAATTGTCCCACCTGTTTAAGTATAGTATTCAGCCCACACAATCTATGTCTGGCGCCGAACATGAGGATGCTGCTCTCCTCTATTCTCACCGTGTGTTTGCCGATTCCCTGTGTGGTCAGTATTTAACGTGAAATATGCGAGCTGAGGTAGGCGCAGCCGATGGTGGAGGTTCAGTTGCGGTGCCAATTTATTTTTGCGGCTCTCAAACCCATATTATCGTTGGTTCATGCTGATACAGTTCAGAATCACCTCGAAAGAAAATCTCATGCATGGACCCCGACGAATTTTATTTATCCATAGGAAATAATTAAAATTAATAACATGTGTGAAGGAATAAAAAAATCAGAGAAACACACTTTATTTTATTGGTATCGGTATTAGTACTAGTATTAGTATTAGTAGGTATAGATATAGATAGGTAGGAGCTATGCCAAATTCATTAAGAGGAAAAACAAAAATATATAATGTCCTGTTATATCGGGGGAACTAGACCAAAACCACATAGAAAGAAAAAACAACAACAAAAACCAACAATGCCCACATTGGCCAACTCAAAACTCGACCAGCAAGACTTTGACAACAACTACAAAAAAATGAGGGCGCCATAGTGCCATCGTCGCGGGTATCTATTAACCCCCATCGAAACAAGACCTTTGCCCAGAGCCGCTTCCCCTACCCCAGTCCAGGGAGGGGGCCCAACTATAGTGAACAGAGAGCGGACCGAAGTTGCACTGCACTTGCAGTAGCATACCATCACAGCCGACCCGAGAGCCCTCACTCACACCATCACCATGGAGGCGAGTCAACACCAACGAGCGTGACACCACAACTGAGCTCCACATTGGCCTCGAACGCTGAAGCCCACACATGAAAACAGAGCTCGGACGCCACCCATCCAGACCTAGATTGGGACTACCACCTCGACTGCACGCACATGCCACCGCACCTACCGCGCACCTCCGCGTCAAACTGCCAACCCGAGCACCGACCACCCCATCACAAGCCCGGCCCTAACGACCATCGTCGTGTCCAGATCGGGAGCCGCCCCGACTTTTACCCTCGAGCACGCTCCGAGGCAGCTGCCAAGCCGCCCATGCCTCCCAGCTGGCCCACCTCACCACACCCGCCACCGCAAAAAGGCGCGACGTCGTGCCGGCTGCTGCCCGCCCCCGTGAGCTCACCAGCTCGTGGAGGACGCCGCTGTGGGAAAAGGAGCCGTCCCTGCCGCTACCCACTCGTGGTTGGGGGCACCGCCTGTGCCACCCTTCGGAAGGGAGCGACGAAGGGACATGGAAGGTAGCACTAGTGTCTCGTTCAAATGTTATATCAAGTTGATATCGTAACATTGAACGAATAACCAGCCTTTGCATGAGAAGATGAAGAATGTAAAAAATGTTGTTTTATATAAACTGGAAATAAAAAGTTGCCTAGGTGAAGGAGGTCCTATCCAAAGACTACATCGCCATTCATGATGAGAGAAATCTCATGGCCATTCCTAAAAAAAAAAGAGAAATGCCATCATCAAGAGAGAGCGAGAGAGAGAGAGAGAGAGAGATCTGGTCAAATGCATCAACTCGGTAGACGTTATCATAAAAGAAGAAACATATATTTTTGGTCCGTCATGTTTGCCTAAAGTCTATATACGCTCCTTTTAAGATTTTTTTTGTTGAAATTAAGCCCCTCAAATCTCAAAACCGGATAACTTTCGTCCGACACCAGATTAGAGTAAGAAACTCACCACGTGGCATTTAGGTTTTGTCCTCTCTTCTTCCCCCACCCCCTCTGTCAGGAGGCATTTCATCAAACAGGTCACTTGCAAACGTTCGTCCATTGCATCCCACGTCTGAGTCCACGCCGCGCCCTCCCTCGCCGCCGTGGGGTTTGCCGCCACCAGCCTTGACGTGAGCCGCAAGACGGCGTGTTCGTGCATGGCATGGCGTTCCGGTGCGCATAGACCGGCCACAACTATCTACCTTCACAGGGGCCTGGAGCGTCTCGGCCTGCTCTGCCTCACCGATGGGGAAAGAGGGGGCGGGTCCTGCAAGCTCTCGGTCGAACGCGCGCGGTGGCGCGCTCTACAACTTGAACCTCCCGGCACGTGCGCCGGCGCACCATCGTGGTTGGTTTGTCTTACACTGTGATTCCACTCTGATATTTACCGTGTCTAGTCTTTGATTTTGATTGGGTTTGTGTGTCACGTTTACTCATAAAGTTAATTAGTTCAAGAGAAAAATGGTGTAATATGGCAGAGAAACTATTATTCGAGACTTGCTGGGGTTAGCGATAGCCAACTCGGGTCGGGTTACACGAACAAAACCCAGAGAAACCACTCGCCTCCCAGCTTCGCAACAAAGATTACATGAACTCATGAAGCATCACAGGATTCACGAGAACCTACAGGTGGACGTGGACACACACTTCAGACTCTCAGCTTCACGGGGCACCAAGCCCCTTCCTTCCGGCAGCGGCGGCCACGGCGCCGTCACTTGCAACGCCGTCAAGAGCACCACGCTGCTGCCCCTCGCCGCTGTCACCGGCGTCGCAGTAGCCCTTGAGCATGTCCCCCTCCTCTGGGGTGAACCCGATGACGGACAGCATGGCGTCCGCGGCCCAGCAGTGCTGCTCGACGGCGCGGATGGCGCGGCAGCACCCGGGCCCCAGGTACGCCTCGCCGTTGAGGAAGAAGAGGATGATCTCCCCCGTGCACGACCTGATGTCCATCAGTATCTCCCAGCACTGCTGCTGCCCCACTCCCTGCAGCCGCTCGGCGAGCTCGGCCGGAGGAGCGCCCGCCCGGACGAAGGTCGTCGTAGTCGTCGACGCGGTGGCGGCGACTGTGAGCAGGAGCAGCACGAGGAGGGCGGGGAGGAGTGAGCCGGAGGAAGCCATGGTACTGATCGCCTCTAGGCTCTAGCAAGTGCTGGCTGTGACGCTGTGTACGTGCTACGTTCAATTTATACAGGACGATGAGAGCGAGCGGTAACGCGCGCTTGCTTCAGTTTCAGAACTTGGAAGGTCCTTTCGCTTCCCATTCTGGTGGTCTTTAGTACCGACGACGATACGCCTTCCACCGAGGGAGGATCCCTTGTTTCCGGTTTCTGCATTTTCCATGCCAACCGATTTGTCTCCTAATCGATACCCGCCGCGGTTTCGTTTGGTATGTCATCTTTCGCTGTCTTCGTGTCATTTCACTTTCCATACCAACTCACATGTTTCCTTATCGCTAGAACAAACTGCTAAATTCTTTGGACGTCTTAAGCGCACACCTAAATATGAATCCATTCACCAAATGCATCATATAAATGGAAAGATTCCTCTGGCCCGAGTCTACACACTGAGCATCTACAGCCGGACATAGCAAATATGACCCCTTAAACACGGGCGTGTCTGTCTTGAAGTTGCATACCGTTGCTAATTAGCTGGTTGGCAGCAGTCCAAAAGTTGCCTTCCATGATTTCTAAGTTGGGTACCTCGAAATCTAAGGTGTACACTTCACTATGAGGTCGTCTACCTTAGTGATGCTCAGTTGTCAATATTACTTTGGAAGTTGTATAACGTTGTTTCTATGTTGGCTACCTCGAAAACTAAGCTTTCCTACAATGTTACAAAGTATTGTAGAGGCGACTCTGGATATTGTTAAGCTACTCACTATTAATAGTAGGAACGATAATATTAGCCTACTTTACGGTCATTGTAGACAACTTACGACATCATTAGGACAACTGGCATCATGGAAAGCGAACCAAGCAGGGAGTTGGTTCTTGTAGCACTAAAGTTACACAGATAAAAAGTTTGTCAAAACATATCCACACATGATCTAGTTTCAAGGAGCTCTCCATGAGAGGTCTAATGGCGGAAACGAATATTAATTTAATAAGCGGTTTAGAAGTAATTGCTTTTGAAAAATTGAAAAAGTAATTAAACGGCATGACATCGCCATGTGTTTGGGGATGGATTAAAACATTTACATGGCGCCGGGCTGGGTGATCATGGGCTAGGCGTGAGGGCTAGTTTACTTTTTAGGTGGACACAAAAAATAGGTATAATTTTTTTTCTTTTATATGTATGGGCTTGGGAGATCTAATTAGCAACCGTTCACTAGTAGAAAAGGAGGCTTTGGTTCGGCCAGAAAAGAG